TGCTCTCTGTGGGGCACAGGGAACCCCTGAGTCCCCCAGCCCCTGCCTGTGCTCATGGGAGACCGAGGCCCGCAGGGGCAGGGTTCCCTCTCATCGGTCACTGCCTTCCTTGCCCCTTCCCCATTTCTGTCCCTGTTCCCTCGAGAGGTCTTCCCTTCAGTGCCCAGGACTTGCTCTCAGGTCCAGTCCCAGCCTCCTGCTGTCTTCCTTGCCCCCATCTATCGAGGCTTCTGATCAAGTGGGGCCAGCCACTCGCTGACCTGACACAGGGCACCGCAAGGGCTCCCCCAGCCCCTGCTCAGGCTACTCCACCAGCCTGGAATGCCGTCCCCGGGCCGTCTCTAACCGCACCCGCCCAAGGTACCAGCCAGTCTTTCTACACAAAGTGCTTGAGCGACTGCCCCGTGTCTAGAGCGAGCTCAGGACTTAAGGCAAGCACAATGCAGCCCCTGTCCTCAAGGAGTTCAGCATGTCTGGGGGAAGTCAGTGAAATGCACAGCACCGTGTTGACAAGCCCTTCAAGGTCTCCACGGAGCGGGGGACCTGGGTGGGAGCCATCAGGGAGGGTTTCTGGGGAGGCCCGTCTCCATTGAGACGTGGACACTGAGCTGGAATCTGCCGGGGGAAGCAGAGGTGGCCAGGGAAAGTCGAGAATGGGTGTTCTAGGCAGGGCTCAGCATGTACCCAGAGCTGGGGCCAGAGAGGGCGGGGCCTGCAGCATCACTGCTCTGGGATCCCCCAGAGAGGAGGAAATACACGTTCACACAGAAGCACGCACACGAGCGTTCACAGTAGCAACACACGTCACAGCTAAGAGGCGGACACAAATCAGTCAGTCATGAACGGACAGGCAGGTAAACTGAAGGTGGGGCAGGCCCCCAAGGGAATATCCAGCCATAAAAAGACAGGAAGAAAACATAATTTAATTTTTAAAAAGAAATGTAGCCGGGCTCGGTGGCTCAGCCTGTAATCCCGCGCCTTTTGGAGGCTGAGGTGAGTGGATTGCCTGAGCCCGCG